TTGTTGCATATAGACTAGAACTCCTAAAATTGATACATTGTGTTTGAGGTAGTAAAATTGAGATCCATATCAAATATAAGAATGTCAAATATAAGAATGTGTTTGAGGTAGTAAATTGAGATCCATATCAAATATAAGAATAGATTTTCTACTTACCAGCAGGAAGTGGTTTGGAAAGAACAATACCCAAATTCCCAAATATTGTGCATAAATGTTTGTTTTCATTTAATTGGACTTTGTTATATAATATTAAATAAAATAAAAAAATCCAACTAGGAAAAAAAAGAATAAATTTTCTAGAATATATTTTTGGTATATTCTTTCTGCTAGATAAAGACCCTAAAGATGAAGAGTCTTTGAAATATTCATGCTTCTGGCCCAGTGGCTCCATGAACTAGACCCAGAGTGGTCGGCTGTGTTTAACTAGCTCTAGACTAGCTTTTGCTCTAGTTGTTTGAGATAGCCTGAGTCATACAAGTGGATCCCACTGAGCAGAGCAATGACCCACACACTATGCCCCTGAGTGACCTGGACATGGGTGCTCTCCAGCCACACTGCAGGGGCACATTGCAGCTGAACAGTGTGGGTTCAGTTCTTGCCAGAGAGAATGTACATAGTGAGCACCATGGAATATGTTAGGATGTGTCAGAATGGGTATTGGTAGGATTTGGGCTACTGTGTAATTTGGGGGTGGGGTTCTGAACAAGCAGGGCTTTACTCCGGGTTGGACAGTTAGGATGTCAGGTGATCTGTGTTTGAGAATAAAGAATTCTGCTTAGAGCAGAGTAAGACAAGAGTAACCCAAGATAAGATGCAACAGTCTCACCCATATCCGCCAGGAGAGGGGGCTGTTTGGTATTTTGTAGAATGCACAGTGACCTTATTTTTTTTATCCAAGCTTAGATGAAATTTTTAAGTGTTTGTTTTGTCTGGGTTTATGGTGGTTATACAGTGACCTCGTCTGATGTTGGTGTTTCATAAGCTTGTTTATGTCCAGTGGGAGGACAACATGGCCTTGCTATGAACCCCAGGCCAACCTCTGACAACACTGAGGCCTAATTGCATGTGTCTAAGCACTGGTAGGTGCCAAGGACTACATTTTTAATTTCTCTTATTAACAATTACCTTAAACCTAACTATCTGTGTATACTTTTTCCAAATATATTATTTCACTAGTTATACAAAATGAATGTGTAAAGGGGTAGAAAACTTGTAGGATACTCTAGAAAACATTTTTAGGAGAAATGCTAAAAGTATCCTTGATTTAGAGGTGAGTAAAACAGTTAAAGTAAGTAGCCTTCAGAACACTTCATCAGAAGAGCCTGCACACTGAACGCCTGTATTGTTCAGATCTTGTTCCACATTCAGGGAACTTCACTGTAACCTAGAATGGTCATACACACAGACAAAGCCTTGCCCACTGCCACACTATGAATTAATAGGCTGTCCATGTTTTATAAAATGAGGTGTGTATATGTTGGTTGCATGATTCTTCACTTAACAGTTTATTAAAATACCAACCGATCTGGATCATACTTATCAATTACAAGCTTTCACTGAAAGAAAGGCAGGCAGAGTTGGAATCAAGATTGTTTACTGGAACTTGATGCTAGTAAAAGATAATAGCAACATAAACATTACAAAAAAATGAAATACTGTAATTACTGAAGGTCATTTGTTCAGTCATGGAGAAATGTGCATTTATAATGTGAACTATGTTGAGAAGGCTACAGAGCCCAAAAATGAACCATCCCAGTTTTAAGAATAGGCATGTAAAAATTTAATACAGAAACAAGCATATAATTTAAAGGAAATTGACAATTCCCTTGGTTGCAAGGATTTCAGAGGTTTTAAAATTGTGTTCTCTGTCTTTGAGTATTCTCTTGGTTTTGCTTTTCAGAAATCAGGTCTGGGAAGTAGTGTGGTGGTGCACACCCGTAATTCCTGCACTGGAGAGGTGGGAGCAGGATGATGAGGAGTTCAGGGCTATCCTTGGTAACTAAGGTTGGAGGTCAGCCTTGGGCACATGAGAACCTGTCTCGATAATGACAACCCTAACAATGCAACTGTCTTTCTGTAGCAACACTTTCTGCATTGCAGATTCCTAGAAGGGAGAAGGGAAGAATGGACTTTTATACTGTTAGTCCCTAGCAGACCCCTTGTGTTTTAATTGATCAGATGTCTTAAGGAAATACTTAATAGTACACCCATCAATATACAGGAGTTTTAGATTGACAGTTCTCTGATAATTCAAGACAATAGTTTTAAAAATTCAATTCCTGGTTGGCGATGGTGGCGCATGCCTTTAATCCCAGCACTCTGAAGGCAGAGGCTGGAGGATCTCTGTGAGTTTGAGGCCAGCCTAATCTACAGAGCTAGTTCCAGGACAGCTAGGGCTGTTACACAGAGAAATCCTGCCTCCAAACACACACACACACACACACACACACACACTTACACACACACATACAAGCAAATTCGCTTCCTGGGGTCTGGAGAGATGGCTCAGTGTGAAAGGTATTCATCTTCAGATTATTAGTGTTATAGTTATTTGTTTTGTTGTCGTTCTAAAGGTGTCGGTGTGTGAACTGAAACCACAGTGTTTGAAGACTGTTAGTGACAGGAAAGCAACTTTAGCACCAAGCTTTCAATCTCTTCTAGTGATTCCAGGCCATTCTCAGAACATGACAGATACCCTGGTATAGCCACTTTATAAAGGCACATGGGTAATAATTGTTATTAAGATTGAACGCCACCCAGGAATTTACACTCTAGATATACTTCATAAAGTAGCTAAACATACATCTTCATTACAAAACTGTAGGAGATGGCAGTACTATATAGCCATTAAGGATGAGGTAGGAGCTGGGTGGTGGCCCACACTTTTAGTCCCAGCACTTGGGAGGCAGAGACAGGCAGGTTTTTGAGTTTGAGGCCAGCCTGGTCTGCAGAACTTCTTCTTGTACAGCCAGGACTACGAAGAGAAATCATGTCTCAAATACGTACATACATACATACACGAGGACTTGTGAGATGGCACATGCCTCAGAGCCTGATGATCTGAGTTGGATCCCTAAGACCACATGGTGAAGGAAGAGCACCATTTTCCACCAGTTTTCCTGATTTTCATATGCACACACACAATAAGTAAAGTTGCACATTTAAAAACAATAACAAGTCTGACAAGGTGGTAAGATGGCTCAGTGGGTAAAAGCACTAGCCATGCAAACTTGATGACCTAAGTATGACCCCTGGCACCAAAAGGGAAAAGAAGATGGAAGGAGAAACCAACTCTACAGAGTTGTTGCCCTCTGACCTCCACATGTGTATTATGGCACAGGCACACATTGTACTCCATAGAATGAAACAGATAGGTGGTCATTTCTGTGATCTAGCACTTAGAGGCCGAAGCAAGAGGATTACAAGTTCGAGGCCATCCTGAGCTGTGTAAAAAGACCCCCGTCTCAAAAAGCCAAAAGAGAGGGGTTTGTTTGTGGTGGTGATTGTGAGGTAGAAGCTTGCCTTTATTGGATTGTACTATATGCCAGGCACTGTGCCATGCATTTGCAATACTATAAAACGCTACGTTCTGGGTGCTGTTATTTAAGTTTTTCAGGTCAGGAACAGACTAAACTTATACAAGTTTTCATAGATAGTAAAGCAGACCTGAGGTTAGGATTTAGTATTCTTAACACCTAAAATGCATATCCTCCTTCTAGTAATGAAGAAAGAAGATGAAGTTGTTAAATGGAAAGGGGTTCAGGATCTGTGGAGTTTTTGGTTTAGTAAGACAGGGTTTCTCTGTGTAGTCCTGGCTGTTCGAGGACTTACTCTGTAGACCAGGCTGGCCTCAAACTCAGAGATGTGCTTGTTTCTGCTTCCCAAGTGCTGGGACTAAAGGTGTGAGCCACCACCAAGCCTGGCTTCATTTATGTTTTTAACTTATTCAAGTGATAGTGCATCCTAGAATGACACAATAGCTCTACCTAACAGTGGCTTTTTCACACAGAAGGTATGGGTAGCCTCTAGCTTTCATTTTCTGTATATTTCTGTCATATCTTCAGTTTTTTGAGATAGGGTTTCTCTGTAGCTTTGGCTGTCCTGGAACTTGCTCTGAAGACCAGGCTGGCCTCAAACTCAGAGATCCACCTGGCATGTCATGTCTTAATAATGAGCATGTACTATATTAAATTATAACTAAGCAGAACTAATGTTCTGAAAAGTTACAAAAGTTAGAGTCTAAGCTGGAGTCCAGAATATCAAGTGATTTTTCTCTACTTGCTTTTATACATACAGGGTCCTCTTGATCTTAAAGTACTAGGTCCAGCTTTCTGTTGCTCCATTTGTCTGCACCTACTTTAAAGGCTTAAGTGTTTTTATTAATTTCTAAATTACAGGTGTGTGTGTGTGTGTGTGTGGTCAGAGGACAGTCTTACAGGAATCAGTTCCTTCCTCCTATCACTTGAGTCTCAGGGATCACAGTCAGGTCAGCAAGCTTGTCAAGTGCTTTACCAGCAAGACATCGCTGTAGCCCAAATATTTAATGTTTTGATGGATATAATCACACCCCAGTATGTTTTGTTGTTGCTTAAATTCTCTGTTGTTTCCCAGAGAGACTGCTTACAATGAGACATTATTTGTTTGTTTCTTTGTTATATACATTGATGTTCTGCCTGCAGGTATGTCAATAAAGTACTCTTAATCACTGAGCCATCTCTCTAGCCCTCAATGAGACATAGTTAATGATGCACATAAGAGCTATGAGTATTACCCATGGTGCACATGAATGTCATCCAGTGCCCTAGAGGCTGAGGCAATCCAGCAGAATTGGGAGTTCCAGGGTAGCCTGTGCTACATTGTAAGGCTGACTTATACTAACAGTGCACAGGTAGCCTGCTGCACTCCTACAGTTGAGCAGGAAACATCCAGATTTTATAGTTCTGATGATTTGACAGATTTTATTTCTGTTTGAAACAACATGTTTTCTTGCTTTTTCTTAGGGCAGGTTATCAAAGCCTGGGACATTGGGGTGTCTACCATGAAGAAAGGAGAGATCTGCCACTTACTGTGTAAACCAGAATATGCTTATGGCTCTGCTGGCAGCCTTCCGAAAATTCCCTCGAATGCAACTCTCTTTTTTGAGGCAAGTATGTGTGTTGTCGCCTTGCCGGCTTGTGCCGTGCTGCGCAGTGGGAGAGCAGCTGGGTTTGCTGCTGAGAACCCGCTCCAGCTTATTTATTTTGGAGCCTGGCTTCTTGAATTGTTTCCCACACACCCGGTGGATGTGCCTGTGCTTTCTTAGAAATGTGTCTCTGGCACAAAATGGGCATATCCAAACAAACAAAAGACAGACATTTAGAAATACAAGCTCTGGTCAGTAGGGGAAGTAAGACACATTCAAAACCGACAGGCCGGAAATGGTGGTGACCAGCATTAAAATGGTAAGCTGTGAAGGTTTACAACTGGTCCTCTAATCTTCATCAGGAACAGTAAGTGGTAGTACATTGTTTAGTCTGTGTTGAATTAATTACACTTCTTAGTAAAATTTGATTATTATCTAACAAGGTGAAAGTACATCTTTAGTCAGTTGAAGGCCAGATTTTAATTCTTGAATTTTAAGATGGAAACTTCATAAATCTGGGGTGGAAACTGGTAGCATTGGAGTCTGACAAAATTGTTCTGTGCCAGCACCTTGTAGCTCTGGCCTTTTGCCCAAAAGGCAGTTGTCCTAGTACTTCCTGTCTGTCTCTGCACTGCAGCCTCACAGGATGCAGTCCTAGACATTGTCATTACACAGGTCTGTTTCCGAGGGTTGCGGAGTGCAGTGTTAGCTTCCTCCGCTTTCCTCCATCTAAGCCATATGATGAAGATGGAGTTTAGAGTCTCATAAAATAACTGTGTTAAACTGGCTCTGGCCTTTTCTACTCTAGATTGAACTCCTTGATTTCAAAGGAGAGGACTTATTTGAAGACTCGGGCATTATCCGTAGAATCAAACGGAAAGGAGAGGGCTACTCCAACCCAAACGAAGGGGCTACAGTGGCGGGTAAGTCCTGCTGACAGGAGCCAGTCCTTTCATGGTGTGAGCAAAGTGCAGAGTCATCAGTAAATCTGGATGTCAGAGTAGACACATTGTGGGCTACAGACACGGCTCAGCACTTACAAAGAGCTTGCTGCTCTCTTGGAGGACTGTGCTTGGTTACCAGACCTACATCAAGTGACTCAACATTCACCCATAGCTCTAGTTCCAGAGTTCAGCACCCTCTTCTGATCTTCATGGTGCATGCACACATAATATTTAAAATTTTAAAGTAAATGCATTGAATATATATCTCAAAAACAGTTTCAGATTCAGCATTCATTTAATAACTTCATTTGTTAAATACTCATTTAAAGTGTGTTCCAGGCATCTGGCAACATCTGTAAACTCAAATATACAATAATCCTGTCTACAAAAGAATTCTCAGTCCCTAGATCCCTGGAAGGCATTTCTTTCTGTCTTTCTCACAGTAACCTGAGGAGGTGAGATTTATTATCCCCAAGTGAGGAAAATTAGTTCAGTGATGTCATATAAATGGCCCAAAATTGCAGAGCTACTGAGCAGAACAGTGGAGAGTTGAACAGCTGCATTCATTCTCTATGGGGTGGCCTGGGACCAAGTACTGTTTTGCTAGTTGCCAAGTCACCCTGAAGCTATTTTCATGTATTCATCTGAAGACTGGGAGATGGAGTGAATCCCTCCCTGAGCATTCTGCATCTGGTTGCCTCCTTACTTACATCATTATTTGCCGACCTACCTGAGAACAAGGGCTTTGCTTCACCACTATTTTTTTTTTTTAGTGTCTGCTGTATGTCTGACACACACTGGGCAGTCCACAAAAGCGTTCTGCACTGTATAGTTCCTGAGCTGAAAAGGAAGTTGGGAGAAAGATGTGCATCCAGGAAAAACCAAGTCATTAAACAGGAACATTTATGAACATTTACCTAAAACAACTGGAATAATCGAGTGTTTTATTTTTAGCATGTACATATTATTTAGAACCATATTTCATTATATAAGTCTCATAGTTTAGTTTATTATTTTTCTTTCTTTTTTGTTTTTCAAGACAGGGTTTCTCTGTGTAGCCCTGGCTGTCCTGAAATCCACTCTGTAGACCAGGCTAGCCTTGAACTCAAGATATTCCTGCCTCTGCCTCCTAAGTGCTAGGATTAAAGCTGTGTGCCACCACACCCAGCTTCATAATGTACTTTTAACTGGGGGTTTTGGACAACTAAATTAAAAGAAAGAGCTGTCCCCAATTATATCACTACAAAACTATACCACTTGTAGAAGTGGCCTTAGAGCAGGTGAGACAACCTTTATTTGGATAGTTATTCAGTGGAAATCATATTTTTAACTTTGATTGGGAAAAAAAAATTAGACTTAGAGAAAAGTTGCAAACTGTTCCAGACTGTTTTTCTCCTGGTATTGAGATCTTATGCACCCACGGGGCATTTGTCAATACCAACCCATTACCACACTAATTCATTTTCTAGTCCATTATCAAATTCAGAATCTGGACCTGCACTTAGCTTTCATGGCTTTATTCCCTTGCAATAAATTAGTCTTCCATCTTCTTTTCTTAGGACCCTGACATTTGGAACACATTTACCATTTGGTAGGATATCCTCCAGTTTAGGTGTATAATCAATAGATTGAGGTTTTGGAAAAAAACTGGGAGAAGCTGAGCCCTTTTTGTTCATCATCATCATCATCAAGAGGCACATGGTGTCTTCGTTCCTGGTGGTCACTGGGCTAGGGTAGCCTCTCCCAGGCTTCTCTGTGGTGGTACCCTTTGTAAGCGCTGTCTCTTGTTAACTCCTCCCTTTGCACCTTGTTCACACTAGTGAGTTTGCATACAGCACTTACACTGTAGTATTTGACTTATGATAGTTTGTTTCCATTTCAGGTTTATTAGTTGGAATTCACTGTAAGGAAAGTCTGCCCCTTCTCCATGTCTATCTATGGCTGTTTACTTTTGTCAGGGATGTTGCTTCCTCCTGTGAGTGTTTTCATGGTTCAGATTGTCCCAGGTTTGGTGCTGGGAAGGTCTTCCAGCCAGCCTTTCTCACCACACTGCTGTGTTTTTTTTTGTTTTTTTTTGTTTTTTTTTTTTTTTTTTTGCCATTTGTGAAGAAGAGTGTTAACCTTTTGTTTTGTCTTCCTCACTTTATTCTACGCTCACTTTAAGAACCTGCTGCCCCAGTCCTGGAATCAACCTTTTTTCCATGGAGCACTGTTCCCTTTCATTGGAAATAGTATTTAGAAGCTGAGTCAGGTGCTCAGGTGTGTTTGTGTGGGTACGCTTCATGCTCCTAGAGCATCTTAGCAGATGGAGCTAGGAATACTCAAACTTCCCAGTGGATTTCTGTAGCAATCTCGGATGTATTAAAACCGTGGGTGCAGGGTTTAGCAGTTAACAGCTCTGGCTGCTTTTCCAGAGGTTCCAGGTTTAATTCCCAGCATGCACATGGAGGCTTACACCTGTCTGTAACTCCAGTCCCAGGGGATCTCAAGCCCTTTCTGGCCTCTGAAGGCAACCGGCACACAGACATACATGCAGGCAAAACACCCATATATGTAACACATTCTTAAAGATGGTGAGTACATACAGTTACACGGTTCCATTCAGCACCACAGGTTTGTTCTTCCTTTGCTTGTCTGGAACTTTTTTCAGCATAGTTATAGTATGTTGACATATGCAGTCCCAGAATATACATCAAATCACTCCTGAACTATCACACATTATGATAATAACTAATAGTTTCTGTGTACAGTGGGGCTGTCAGACATAAGCTTTGGAGGTCATGGATTGAATAGAGTGGTGTAGTCAGACATAAGGTACACACAGGCTTTGGAAGTCAAAGACCGACCTTTTTGTTTGTTTGTTTGTTTTTATTTTTGTTTTTCAAGACAGGGATTCTCTGTATTGCTTTGGAGCCTGTTCTGGAACTAGCTCTGTAGACCAGGCTGGCCTCGAACTCACAGAGATGCTCCTGTCTCTGCCTCCGCAGTGCCCGGCCACCAGACCGAACTTTTGAGTCTTGGAGTTGGCTTCTTATTTTATGTGTCAGATATCTTTAACAGCCTTGAGTATCCAGTTTTTTTCGTGTGTTAAATGGGGCTTTTTTTCTCCTGTTTGAGTTGTTGTGACAGTTATGACAAAGGGGTGGGGATAGGTGTTTGCCCTGTGTAATGAACTTTTCTTACCCTCTGTACTGTAGGTACAGAACTTGTTTACTTCTTTTAACCGGACTTACGGAAAGGAACCCTTTACTCCCTTCATTTCCTACACCTAGTCCTTGGTTAGTTTGTCTCCAAAAACATAATTTTTATCTTCTTAATAGTTTTAGGTTTTGCTTTTGAGGAGTATATGGACTGGATGGAAGGGTTTTAAATTGTAACTTCTGTGCTTCTTTTTAGGTTTGGGGAATTTATTTTTTTCTCAGAACCTGCTTTTTACTCTTACCAAAATTCTCATTTTTATAAATCAGTCATTGGTTCTGTTTTTCTGTGCCTTTTCTTACCAAGTAAAATCACTGTCTTGTCACTTCATTCATGTGTCCTTTTTCCAATTATAAAGAAAAGTCACTGTGTTCTGAGTGCTCTGGTCGTCGTGACTGTGATAACTGGCACTTTAGTCATCACGTGATGCCAGTGTGGCCACACTGCCCCTTCTAAGTGCCTTGTCGTGCTCTTAGAAGAATCAGTTGTACTTAAGTAGGGCTTTAAGGCACTCCCATCTCTCTACCCGGATGCCCTCTCTGTGGGGTTTCCGGTTGTTAGTGTTGGTGATTAGAGTGCTGGCTGTGTGGGGCTCCCTCTTTCCCCTTGCTTTCAGCTGCAGTGGGATGCATGTGCAGACGGGGGACAGTGTTTGCGAGTGTGCAGTTCCCACTGTAACCTCCAGGTTGCTGCTATGGGACACTTTCCTTTCCCTTCACCTCCTAACCCAATAAAATGATAAGTGGAAGAGTGAGAGAGTTACTTTTAAAAATAGAAGCTCCTGGTAGCACATACCTTAAACCCAATAGGAGGATCCTATGGGTTGGAGGTCAGCCTGCTCTACAGGTGAGTTCCTGGATAGCCAGAGCTACAGAGTGAGAACCTGTCCCAAAAATTGAAAGAAAAAGAAAAAAGGAAGTGGGGGGAATCAGAAATTTGAGTTTATGAAATATATAAGTTGCCAGGTGTTGTGACACATGCCTTTAATCCCAGCACTGGGGAGGCAGAGAAAGGTAGAGGCAATCGGTTCTCTATGAATTTGAGGTCAGCCTGATCTACATAGTGAGTTCAAGGACAGGCAGGCTACACAGTGAAACGCTGCCAATAAATAAATAAATAAATACAGCAACAAAATGAAATATATAAAGTAGATGGATTTAGACTGATGGAAACTGGATTCTATAAATCCAACCCAAAGCAGGTGTTGAGAAGACTTCTGTAGAGGTACATACTGTTCTTCTCAACAAGCTTGGGCAGAACTCCAAGCTCCCGATCAGCTGGTGCAAGGAGCCAAAACAGGCTATGGGGCAATCATCAGGAGTGCTATAAAACAACGAGGGACAGCTGCACCAGCAGCCTCTATTGTAGTAACTCAGCCTTGGCTGAAGGAAGATTATCTCCATGCCCAAGCCTCCAACCCATCAAATAAAAATTTCAAAGAGACTGACAGAGGCAAATATTGTTTTAAACTCCCAGGTGACTCTAGTTTGCAGCCAAGGACTGAAAACTAGCTGCCTGGGGATCCGGTGTTATCACTTCTGCTCAGAAGCTAAGGCCTGGCTCCAGACCGCAGCAAGGGACAAACCACAGGAGACTCCAGGTGCTAGACTTGGACTGCAGAACAGGAATATAAGGAAGGTGTCCCTGAACTTCTGAAACGTGCTGGGCATGGCAGCTCTCCACATCAGTGAACAATGCTGGAGGGCTCGGTCTCTTTCCATACAGCAGTAGTAAGATGGGGCATCCCCAGCCTTGTGTCTATAGCTGCTTAAGAAATTTTC